TGAGTCAGAGGACTAGCCTAGATTCTGAGGAAGTCAAACATGGTCCCTACTTGGTTTAAGCATTTGGCACTGTGAGTAGGATTCATTGCAATGGCTACAGAGCTAATAAATTGTTAGATTTTATCGGAGAAAGAATGAAGGGGAATGCGATAAAATGTTTCAGCTGAAAGGAGAGCAGCTTATGGAGATCACTGGAGCTGGATAGAAAATACAGCTGATCTGTGGCCAGGGACTATTGGAATCCACCCTGCCAGAGGCCCAAGGCCATATGCATATGAAGAGGGTTAGTGCAAGGTGGAAAGAAAGATTGAACTTGAGTATTTTAAAAGGTGAATGTTTGACTGTCTTATGGATATTGGCTTCTCCTGTCTATTATTGTAAAATAGACATACATGTGTGATAGGAATATTGGGAATTATGATTACAGAAAATTTGTAGGCTGGCCTTTGACCTGTACTTCATTGGATTTCCTAAAAGGGGAGTTAAAAATTATCCATTCACAAACAAACAAACAAACAAAAAGGCTTCTTGGCTTAAGCCTTTGTTGAACTTTAAGATGGAATCTTGAGCTCCACCCAGAACTTCAGAGTTGATACATTTGCATTTGAAAAGACATGAAGATCAACCCAAAGCTGTTGAACAAAAGATCTGTGATTGAAAGAAAGCAAAAAAAAAAAAAAAAAACAGTTTGGCATTTTGAGTTTCTGGGACCTCAGGGCAAGGAAAGTTGGCCCATCAAACATCACCTGGGAGTGGATGTTCTATTGGCACCCATTGAGACAAAATAAGAGGGAAACTGACTGTTTTCAAGTGCAGGGAGGTGTATGTAAACTCCCAAACTTGCAGCTGGTACTTATTTGACCTAGCTTGGATAGCTATGGTTGTTGAGTTTACTAGAACCTGATCAGGTGAATATAAATATGTTTGATATTCTGAGCAAGCATCAGTTGCTACAATTTGATGGACTGGACTTTTTTTTAATGCATGCAGTTCCTCAAAATTCTAATCAGATTGGAAGTCTCTTCAGATCAGGGGACATGCATGTCTTCTCAGGGTACTGGGATGGTAGGGATGGGGAATGTAGACATTGCTATTGCTGTGGAGGCGTGAAGTGACTGACTTGATAAATTTTCATGGGTGTGTTTGGTTTTAGAATGAGGCGTCAAGGGAAAATCCCCACTACTTAGTTTTCCTCTTTTCCTAATGGGTCTGGTGAAAGGGCTATAGAATGATGCTGATGGGATTTTATTATTTCAATTGTAGTTGTTAGTAGTACTAATTGTGATTGTCAAAACTGTAATTATAGAATATATGTAGCTAAAAGGAGGAACTAGTTATCTTTTATTTCAGGAACGGATAATCCCAGGACCATTAAGAAAGAAGACCATGAGTGGAGCATGGGATCCCTGCCTGAAGAAGAAGCAGCAGCAGAGGTGGTGACATGGAAAGACGGAGCAGCTATGGACACTAGGTCCATGGGCTGGAGACTGGCTGGGGACGTATGTGTAAAATATTTCTGATTTGTTCTTTTGTGACATATAAGGGGGAAATTGGGCCAGTATACATTTGGTTGTACATGTTTTAGTTATATCATGTCAGGTGCAAGCAGGATACAGTTAGCTCTACTGTTAGGGACATGCAGAAATGATACACTTTATGAGGATTTCTGATTCCAGATCTTTACACATTTTGTTGTACTATTTGACTTTATCTTCTCGAGCTGATCTTTGAAATTTTCTGTTTAGCTCTTGGACCTCCTCATTTCTTCCATTTGCTTTAGCATCTCTACGCTGGAGAGCAAGTTTCAGTGTCTCTTCCGACATCCATTTTGATCTTTTCCTTCTTTCTTGTCTTCTCAATGACTTTTTGCTTTCTTCATGTATGATGTTCTTGATGTAGATAATAAAATCCTACTGTGGAAGAAGTTCTTTAAATGTGCATCATGTTTATTGTATATCTACACCATCAACACTGACAAGTACAATTATTGGACCAAAATTCCAATTATCTATACAAGATTATTAGATTACACTGTCAGATATATACTATATTATGATGACAAATTTACCAAAACTCTGCTGACACTATTCTTAATTTTATCTTAAAATTTTCAACTGTGGAAGATAAAATGATATCTTATATTGATTTGAAATGTTACATAATGAACAATGTCATATTCCATGTTAAATATTTTTGAAATTAATTAAATATAAAATATTTAATCAGCTTGATATGGCAAAAATTATAGGAAATTATTTTACTAAAACATGTTATCATCTTTTATATTAATAAATTCATGTAAGTTTATTAATAATTGACATTATTTTCTTCTTTGTGATACTTTTTAGATGAAGTGGAAGGGAAATTATAAAATAGACATTTATATGTATATTTTTTAAATAAGACGTGTTTTCAGAATAGTCTTATCAAAATGATATTCTTGTTACTAGTCAAAAATGGTAACTCAATTTTGCCACCATTGGGTTATACATATATGTGTATGCATGTGTGAGTGTTTGCATTGTTGTCATTGTCATCATTGTTGTTAGGTGCCATTGAATTGGTACCTACTCATAGAGACCCTTTATAGGGTTTCCAAGGAGCTGCTGGTGAGCTTGAACCATCAACTTTGCAGTTCAGGGTGACCTTGCAGTCCAGCATATTAACCCACATATAATACACATATTCAGTAAAATGTATTTGTGCATATTCTGTATATGATGGTGACAAAACAGTCCAGGTAATGAATAATAGAGATTCCAAGTAAAGTTTGTGGATAGGATTTGGGATATAGTTTTACTTAGTTTCATAGATACACTTTCAGTTGGTGAGTGTTGGAAACTTTAGGTTAGCTTTTAATTCATATTTGTCTGATTGTAATCAGTACCACAGAAAGAATGTTGCATTGTTTCAGGTATATATTTATAAATCCAACAAATATGGTAATTTTATTCATCATGATTTTGGAAAAAATTCATTTTTATTTTCATACAAGAAGAAATAGAGACTTTTCAGTCAAATTATCAGTAAATGATGATTTTCTTCTAAATGAAAACTAGCAATGTTTTCCAGTAGATATGAATAAGAAACTAGAGAGCACACACAGTTCAAATGTTCTTTACATTCGTCTTTTAAGCAGAAAATTACTTTCAAGCATATTTTTCATTGCTGCTAGAACATCTTTATTCCTAAAGCTATAGATGATAGGGTTGAGTGTAGGCGTGAGAATAGTATAGAATATTGCCAAGTATTTATCCTGGCCTGGAGTGTGGTAAGACTTCGGTGTCATGTATGTAAAAATAAATGGTCCATAGTACATTATGACCACAGTCATGTGGAAGGAACAGGTAGAAAATGACTTTCTCCGTGCTTCTGATGATTTCATTTGAAGGACAGTAAGGATAACTTGGACATAAGAAGCAAAGATCATGGAAAAAGGGATGACCACAAAGATGATACCACTAACATAGATGCCTTGCTCATAGTGTGATGTGTCTACACAGGACAACTTTAGCATGGCTGGAACTTCACAAAAAAAGTGATCGATGGCTCTTGAGCCACAGAAAGAGAAGTGAAGTGTGTACGCAGTGTGAATTGTAGAATTGATTGTCCCCACAAGCCAGGACCCACCTGCCATGAGAAGGCTGATATATTCGTTCATAAGAATGGGGTAGCGCAGTGGATGACAGATGGCTATGTAGCGATCATAGGACATTGCTGCCAAAAGGATGCACTCACCACCCAAAAGTGTGAGAGACAGAAATATCTGGAAGCCACAACCTACAAATGAAATTGTCCTGTTGCCTGACAAAAAATCAGAAATCATTTTAGGAACAATATTGGAAATATGCAAAATATCCATAAAAGACAGATGACTGAGCAAGAAATACATAGGAGTATGAAGTTGTAAGCTCCTATGGATAAGGAGGATGATGACTGTGTTTTCTGTTAAAGTCATAACAAAAATGATACACATAAAGGAGAAGAACATCAGACTTGTTGGGGAAGAAGAGAACAATCCTAAGAGCATAAAGTCACCGCTGTAAGTGTGATTTTCAAATCCCATCATAAATTCCTATATTTTACCTAAAAATAAAACAAATATATACATGAGCACTGGATAGAAAAGGAAAAAAAATTAACAAAAATCTCTAACTTATTCACTTATTTCTTCATAATAAAATAAGAGTGATGTGCACTTCATAACAAAAGTCTAAGTTTTTGTGAACAGCCTCTTAGAATGGGCTTGATTTTAAAGTGATTATTTGTTTGAATCCAAAAATGATATTCAAAATATTGAATGAGATATGGGCTTTATATAGCCTGAAAATCTTATTGCTTTATTCTTTACTTCTTGCTATCTTTACATAAGTATCTTTTCAGTGAGCCCTCTCTCTAAATATCCTACTTGAAATTTTAATGGTCTACACATAACACCCCAACATTCTAGATCTTCCTTATTCTGCTTTTACGTTTATTTTACAAATCACATTAACTTCCTAGAATATTAAATAACTAACTTATGAGTCATATTCTTTTCTTTCTTTCCTTTCCACCAGAATTACATTTCATGATTGGAGATCCTTTTTGTTTTTATTGCTATAACTCAAAGGTTTAAAGGAATGCTTGGAGGAAAGCTGCTGACCATAATGGTTGAATTAGTAAATAAATTAATGGACCGACTATAGGACTCAATTTTTCCCTCTTATATGTTTCTCATTTAGATAACCCTTCTTAAAATTGAAATTTAAGGAGTCTTGGTGTGGCGCTGTGGGCTAATGAGTCAGACTGCAAAGTAGTTTGAAGTACAAGTTCGGTGGTGCAAGCTGCTCCTTGGAAACCCTATATAAGGTTGCTTTGGGTTAGAATCGATTCGACGGCACTTCACAACAACAACAACAAGACTCCTGGTATGCTGACATAGGATCAGCACTGGACTGAGACCATAAGGACAGCAATTTAAATCTACCGGCTGCTCCTTGAAAACCTCATATAGGGAGTTGGAATTGACTCAACAGTA